AGGCGCGCCCAGCGTGCGGGGGAGGGGAGCGCGGCGGCCCACAGTCTGCACACGTGAACAGACCCACAAGCCAAAGCCTGGCAGCCGAGGGGCAGGGGGTGGTGCAGGCCGGGGACCGGACACTCACCGCTGATGGGGCTGGCGCAGCCGGCGCACTTCTTGGCGTACAGGTCGCAGAAGCAGCCCAGGCAGTAGGCGAACTCGTCCCGGGACGTGAAGCGCTGGCCCGACAGAGGCTTCTTGCAGGCGGTGCACACGAAGCACTCGTGGTGCCAGGGCTGCTCCCGGTACGTGACGCCCCCGCTGGTGATGGGCTGCGGGCAGAAGGGCGTCAGCTCCCGCAGGGGCTTGTGCCTGGCGCCCTTGTCCCGGCCCTCGCCCAGGACACCCCGCACCGGCGTCTGGGTCCCAGAGATGCTGTCCTCCGGACGGCAAGGTCACCCCGCCGCCCCTTCCCCAAGCTGCCAGGCCCCCGCTGCAGACCCCGGATCCCCGTTCGTGACGTGGGTACCGGGGTGTCTGCCAGGACAGCACTGCCTCCTGGCCGGCAGGAGGGCGAAGCAGGGAGACCGCAGCTCAGGGGCCGGGGTCTGATGTCACGCAGCCCCTCCTCAGCCCCACCTGCGGGCAGATCCCTGTAGCATCTCTACCACCAGGTGCACCTGCTCCAACAGCCTCCTCAGCTACTCAGGGGGAAGGAAGAGGCTTAACAGACACCGTGGGGCTGGCTTCCTGGGTGGAAAAAATGCGCCCAGAGCCTGCCTTCCCACCCTATCTGTGGTCTTAGGATGCTTTCCTTCCTTTAACCTGACGCAGCCCTGGATAGTGACGAGGGATCTGTCCCCACCCCAGGGACAGGCCTTTCCAGTTCCCTTTTCCCCTCCCCGCCCCCCCACTAGGTCTAGGGCCGTTTCTTGTTTATTCAAGGAGGGCGATGAACAAAGACACCTTAGGGATAGGTGGCCGCTCTTTTGGAAAGGACAACAGGTGTGCAAGGGCCAGGGGGAATACGAGGTACCTTTTTGCACTGAACGCACTGCAAGGCATACTGCCTTTCATAGCAGGGCACGCAGAAGTTCTGGCTGTCCTTCGGGATGAAGCTCTTGGTTCCGATGGGCTGCTGGCAGCGATGGCAGATGAAGCAGGTCTCGTGCCAGCTGCTACCCTTGTATTCCATCTTTCGGGTGCCTGTCAGGGGTCGGGGAGAAAGGAGGACAATCGTGATTCTCACTAAAGGCCAGTCCACGCGTGCCTTGTGCATGTTCTGAAGGACAGTCTTCTGTCCACCCCAGAGCTCGGGGTCCTGTCCCGCCCCAGGTCCGTGGGAGGGCGCCCGCTGGCACCCCGCAGCCCCAGGGGGTTGGGTGCAGACCGTGTGGTCCTTGTGCAGCATCGCCAGCAGAGGGCGGCAAAGCTCCTTCTCATGGGCTGCGGATGAGGACGCGCCTCCGACAGAGTCCACCGCCTGGTGGAAGGGGTGTCTTTTTCTGATTCAAAGGAGCAAGCGAGGCACCCGATGAAGGCCTGGTGACAGCGTGACCCTGGCCCGGAGGCCGTGGTGCACCTGCTAGTTGGGGCTCAGCCTCCCTGGGTGGGGACGGAGCCATGCACCGTGGTTGGTGACTTGCAGGTGTGGGCAGGGGGGCGAGCTTTGCACTGAGCGGGGGCCTCTTGTCTTCTATCTGATTTCGCTGCAGAAGCCACACTGACAGTCTGCACTGCTTTCACCTTGCTTTGGTTGTAGCACTTTCTAAAATCAAACCAAGGAAGGAAGCTAGTGCTCAGGTCTAGGTTTGTTTTTTTTGGTTTCTTTCTTTCTTTCTTGGTTTTTTAAAAAAAGTATCTAGTGCTTGCATTTTTTTTATTTTTATTTTTCACACACCAGGCCTTTTCCAGACACCCTGCCCCTGGTGCTCGGTCCGTTTACTCTCCTGACTTCTCCATCTGTTAAAATCAGCTTGACCTTCGAGACTGCTCAAAGGTGACGGCCCCAAGGCTCCCTTTCCTGGCTGCCCTTCTCTGGGCTTGTGCCTCTTTCACAGGAGGTACCAGCCAGGCTTCTCCACCGTTTCTACCTAAAACCCCCTACAGCAGAGACGGTGAGATGCACGTCCCTGGGGAGGAGGAGGGTGTCGTCTTGAGATCAGCCTGCCAGAATCAAGAAAAATTCACCTTCTACTCTAAGACAGACATATATTTGTCTTTGTCAAAGCAGCAGTTAATGTCTTTCTTCCCGGGGCTTCCCTGGTGGCGCAGTGGTTAAGAATCTGCCTGCCAATGCAGGGGACACGGGTTCGAGCCTTGGTCCGGAAAGATCCCACATGCCATGGAGCAACTAAGCCCATGTGCCACAACAACTGAGCCTGTGCTCTAGAGCCCACGTGCCACAACTACTGAAGCCCATGCGCCTAGAGCCTGTGCTCCACAGCAAGAGAAGCCACCGCAATGAGAAGCCCGTGCACTGCAACAAAGAGTAGCCCCTGCTCGCCGCAACTAGAGAAAGACCGCGCGCAGCAACGCAGCCAAAAATCAATCAATCAATAAATTTAAAAAAAAAAATCTTTCTTCCCAATCTGGAATTTCCAGGCTGTTACCCTGGGAAGCTGTGCCTTTCCCCAAACATGTGGCCCACAGCTCAGGTCCAGGCAGCTGGGCATCCTCACCGGTCAGTCTCCCCACGGAGTCAGGAGTCTGACTCTAAATTATCCCGGTAGCCTTGATTCTCTTCACATGTCAGGGTGACCCCAGCCGCTGTGTGGGCTAAGAGGACTCAGCAGGGTACCCTGGTTTCTACAAATTGACATTCATTCTATTAAAGTTGAAAATTCAAAACCCTCAATTGAAGTTCATCCTGCACATCTTTATCCTTCATTCATGAATACAGAGAATTAAAAAAATTACTTTTAAGGTGCATTTCTTTGTGTTCAGTTCCATTCACCAATGCAGTGAACTGAACTCCTTTAAAAGGACACTTGAAAATTTAATGTATTTGACATGCCTTTTAAGAACCTCAACTAGCAAACCGGACCTCAAGTTCTTCCTCTTTTCTTTTTTTTTTTTAAAGTAACCCCTATTTTTCTTTTCTTTTACTTATTTAATTTTTTGGCCGCGTTGGGTCTTAGTTGCGGCACTCAGGATCTTTTGTTGGTGCGCTCGGGCTTCTCTCTAGCTGTGGCACACGGCTCCAGGGCGCGTGGGCTCTGTAGTCTGCGGCACTCGAGCTCTCTTGAGGCGCTCAGGCTCAGTAGTTGCAGCGCTCAGGCTCAGTAGTTGCCCCGGGGCATGTGGGATCTTAGTTCCTTAACCAGGGATCAAACCCTCGTCTGCTGCATTGGAGGGCGGATTCTTTACCACTGGACCGCCAGGGAAGTCCCTTAAGTTCTTAAGTAATTGTTGTTGAAATGAACTAAACTTATAAATATGATGAATCCTAAAATATCTTAAGCATCAAAACCATTTACAAATTAAGAAAATTCCAGTGTAAAACCACAAGCCTAAATCACTTACTTGATTGCACACTTTCAGTCAGAATCATAAGGTTAATTTACTCTTAAGACCAAAGTTTTTCTAAACTTCACCCACATGTTACCAGATTATTTAACACTATTATTGCTCTGAGTTGGATTCTCTTTATATGTGTGCCCTTAATTCTAAACCTTCGCAGGACTAAAGGAAGTGTATCTACCAAAGACGCTGTCCTGAGAACAGATACCTTCCAGGGCAATTTGAGGGCTCCCTGCGCAACTGTATCGAGCTTCCTAAGAGCTGGGGGTCCCGGCCTGTGCCCCTGACTCCCACTCCCCCAGCCTGAGCCTGATTAGGGGGCCACATCCCCAAAGACGGTCAATGGACAGAGTCCTCTCCTGGTTTTAGGTGGCTCTCCTGTAGGGATGCCAGATTAACGAGGTCCCAGGTGGGATTAGCTGAAATTCCGATTTGTCTGGGAGTCCTGTATTTTATTTGCTAAACATGGCAAGGCTATACCGTCCAGCCACCCCTTACTGGTCACACAGAGGACATCACTGACCCTAAGTAGCCGATGAACCATCCAAGGTCCAAATCTTAGGCTCTTCTCGCCCGCTCTGTGTGTGTGTCTAACAAGATTCGTTTTTTAAATTCTGTATTGAAAAATTCCACTAAGTATTTTTGTCCACTCTGTTCTTTAAAATGAAAGATTCCTCTCTCCCATGAAACAAAGAAACCAAAGTCCCCCCAAAGAGCAAGCGACACAGTCCCATCCGCCCCCAACAACAGACAGGTCACCCATCACTGGCCTTGGAACTGGACCCAGCTGCCGCCGAGCCTGCCGGGAACATAAACTGCATGAGGGCACAGCGCCCAGCTCCCGGCCCAGCACCCATCTGCGGCAGTAACCGACAGGGCAGGAATTCTGCGGGTGCGCAGAGGGCGCGGAGAGGGCGGGGGAAGCGCGCACACATGCACACTCACGCCCGCGCGCGCACGCACTCACACGCGCCCGCGCGTGCAAGCTCTGTGGGGGCGGGCGGGAGGCAAAGGGGGCAGAGGGGGCGGGGGAAGCACGCACACGCACATTCACACGCACGCGCACACTCTCTCAGCAGCTTGGTGCCCACCTGGCATGATGCTCTTCTTGCACTCCTGGCAGCGGGACGAGTACTCCTGCGAGTAGCAGTCGGTGCAGAGCAGCTGGTCCTCCTTGGCAGCGAATGGCTTGTCCACAAGGGACCCCCTGCACCGCGAGCAGTGGAAACAGGCCTCGTGCCAGTGCCGGTCCTTGTAGGACAAGTCCTGCAGGCCCAGAGCACACGAGACGTGAGACGTGAGAGGGGCCGGGGGCGTGGGCTCTGCTGGACCCACAGCGAGGGGGGCAAATGGGCAACGAGGGGCTGGAATGAGTTAGGTAGGATGCTTCTCTTGCTGTTCTTAGGGCCACTGTTTAGACAGGGGTGTGTGCGAGAGATGCGTCTGAAAAACGAATGACTTTCCCTTGGGGACTGTAAGGAAGAGAAACGGCACATGAAACTCATCAGCGCTTCTCCTGGACACACAGACCCCGGGAGTCCTCTGGCCGCGAGGACGCTGGGCAAACCCAACTGTGCTGGATGATGGCTGTGATCCCCGCGCGAGGGAGGCCGGGCTGCTGGGAAGCTCAGAGACGGAGCCTGAGGATGGGGCCCTGGGTCAACCTGGTGGAAAGCAGGTCAGGAGAGATCCAGTAGGTGCCATCAGCTGAGCGTCGAAGACGTGAGCTGGGCAGAGAAAGGGCACAGACCAGGAGGGCAAGATAGAGGGGCGCCGGGCGGAGCTGTGTCGCGGCTCCAGGTAGCCGGCTGGGAGAGTTCCCGCCCGGCTAGACGAAGGAGGCCAAATGAATGAATGCAATTCGGCCCTGTCTTTGTTGAGACTTTGAAAGTCGAACAAACCATTTAGAGTCCCATCCGCTGGGAATTCCCTGGTGGTCCAGTGGTTAAGACTCTGTGCTTCCCTGCAGGGGGCACGGGTTCGATTCCTGCTCAGGGAACTAATATCCCACATGATACAAGCGTCGTGGCCAAAACATTTAAATAATTAAATAAATAATGCCCTGTCCACTAAGAACAATAATCAGCCTAATTTAAGAAGAGTAGGCGTTTTTGATCATGGGATCACTGTTATAACACTGATTATAGAATAAATGCATTTAACAGGTTTTTTTTGTATGGAAAACAGTATGGTAGTTCCTCAAAAAATTAAAAAGAGAATTACCATATGATCCAGCAGTTCCAATTCTGGGTGTATGCCCCAAAGAACCAAAAGAAGGAATCTGCAGACCCACATTCACAGCAGCCAAAGGGGGAAGTCACCCCAGCGTCCGTCCACAGATGACGGATAAACGTGGACTATTATTCAGCCTCACGAGGGAAACAAATTCTGACACACACTACAACATGGATGAACTCTGAGAACATGCTAAGTGAAATAAGTCAGTCAGAAAAAGACAAATACTGAATCATTCCACTTACATGAGGTCCCGGAGGAGGTAAGTTCAGAGACAGGAAGGAGCAAGGTGGGAACCCGGGACTGGGGCAGTGCTGGTGTGAGTGGGGACAGAGCTTCAGTTTTACAAGAGGAAATGGTCGCACGACAGAGTGTAGGTACTTAGCACCACTGAACTGTACACTTCCGAACAGTTAAGATGGCACATTTTATGTTATGTGTATTTTACCACAATTAAAAAATAAGTTTTGATTATCACGTGGCATGTGGAAAGCACCCTTCCAGAAGTTCAGTGGGTCCCCTCCGTGAGCCCCACCCCGCTGAGCTGAGAGCCAGGAGGGCGGGGCAGGGGACAGTGAGGCTGGGAGTGAACAGGGAAGAAAGGAAGCCAAGTCCGAGGACATCTGCCTTTGGGGCCTGACCTTCAACACAGCCCAGGGGGACCCTCCACGGACGACATCGTGAGAGCGAAGCCACCAGCTGTCACCAGTTGCCCTGGTTAGCGAGTCCCATAGGAGGACGGAGCTGCGCATGGTTAGGGGACTGGACGGTCATGGGAAAGACCATTTAAAACAATCTTGTGGGTCAAAAGCACTGCAGAAATCCACTTGCCTACGGTTAACATTTCCGGCATGAAAACACATCAGCTAGGTTGACAAGAGCTGATTTGTTGACAGACATCTGACACTAGAAAGTTCCCTAGAAATCTGGGTACCACCACCCTGTCCTGATGAGACCATAGGCACCCAGGCAGGACTTCTAGACCTTCTGGAGGCCCAGCTCCTAGCCTCCATGCTCCTGAGGATGCTGGTCACTTGGTCACTTGCTGTCCTGCATCCCGCGTCCCGCGTCCTGCATTCAAAGAAAGGACTGCTCACGCCCTGGCTTCTGCCTAGCCCTCCAGGCTGGTAACAGCAGCCACGTGGAAACATCCCCCCTTGCTGGTCCCACCCCCATCCCGCCCCAGGGAGCTAGTCTCTGTCCTTCCCAGATGCTGTCTCAGCTGAGTCACCAGCCGTCCCTTCCCTGGAGAATTGTGACCCTCACACAGCTGCTCCCTTGTCTGCCCCTCTCAGACGCGCACGCACACGCACACACGTGCACGCGCACACACACACACACACACACACACACACACACACAAGTGTTTCTGCATTAACACTCCAGAGCCCTAAAATGTTCATTCAGGGGCATTTGATAATTCTCAAACCTTCTGATGAAGTGTTTTTCCTCGAGATAAATACCAGCCCACACTCCTGCTCTCAGAAACCTCAGTGAGTCACAGTCTCTGAACAAGCTAGCATCACTGTCGGGGGCGGGGCCATGGGGAACTGGAACCGGTCCACCCCTGTTCCAGCTGCAGCCAGTGGTGACTGCCCTCCGGTCACCGCCCTGCACACCTGCTGTGCCACCAGTGCCCTCGGGGACCCAGAAGCACAGTGTCTAAAATGCCTGATGTATTTCATCCCAGTGCTTAAGCGGAGGGCTCCAGACTCAAACCCTGGCTCTGCCACGTATGTACCTGCCGTGGGGCTGGGGGTGAGTCACCTGACCTCTCCCAGCCTCAGATCCGCCCAGGGAAACAGGGATGACGGTGAAGCCCTGACAACGGTCCTGGCACATTGACACGGCTCAATTAATGTCAGTCTTAGATGCCAGCTCGTGGTGACAGCAGGTGCCCCGAAGCGTCACTCGCTGAGATCACATTTACTCGTGAAGACGGGGATGGAACAGACGCCCTCACCTAAGCTCCGAGCTCCTGGCTCAGTCACTGCTCTGTACAGTGCTTTCAGCCTCCGCAGCCCTTCTGATTCTAAAATTCTTAGTCCCCTCTTACTTGATTTCAGCCGCACAATAACCCCACGGAATAAGGTTTATTCCCATCTGATAGGTGAGCAAGTTTAGCGTAACAGTGCTAAGACACCGTGAACCCCGTTTCTTGCATCCCTCCTGCTGACCTGCAGCCCGGGAGCATCTCTGCAAGCAGGTCTCAGCGTGCTCGCCCAGCCTCACCCTCTGCCCCAGTGTCCTCTTTCACCCCGTGCCTGTGCCTGACCTCGGGAGGCCCGCCCCTCTGCCCCCTCGGCTGTGAGGCTCCGCGTGGGCACCAGCCACTCGGTGACGCCTGTGTGGCCATGAGTGATGCCGGCCCTGCAGGACCCTGTGCCCCTCGTGCCACCCCCGCGGGCACCCCCGGAAAAGCCCACGTCATGCAGCTCGTTCAGGACCGCACATGGAAGCCCTCATCTGCTGCTGTGCTCTCGGGTTTCCCGTAATTCTCTTTCTCTTGTGGGGTCCTGAAAAGGGAGTCTGAGTCAAGTGGATAATTCACGTCACCACCTCCTCCTGAACTCATTTCTGCAGAGTCCGTGCCCTGTGGGCGCGGAAGTGGGAAATGCCACTGGCTCTGGGGGCTCGGGGCTCGTGGGGATGGACCGGAAAATGGCACAGAAAGGCCAAGGCTCCAGGTTAGGTTAGGTTGATTCGACCCGGTGCTTGAACCAAAATGCACGGCTGCTCTGAATGCTCGTCTGTAAAACTGGGTTCCTAGCGGCTCTTTCCACCTCTGGTGTTCACGGCTCCAAACAGAGTTTTAGTTTTGGTTTTTAGTACCGAGCTAGTCTCGTCTCACTTAATTCTGTTATGTGTCGAGTATGCCACATGGTCCCCAAAGATACCATTTACATGCTGGAGATTCAAGGCTAAGACATATGGACGCACTGACTGACTTTCAAGAACTTGGAAATGTTCTAGAAATACCCTGGTTTTAAGGTTCTGTAGAGAGAGAGCATGAAGGGGAGAAACAAAAAAAAGAAAAAAAAATCTTTGACACGTCGCAGAAAAAAGACCAATGCTAATCTCATGCACGCAGAATGTCACAAATTGCAGTAAAATGTCTGATAAACAAGGTAAGATAAGACCCAAACACTTCCTTTCAGAATTTATATTTTTCCATTTCAGAAATATTCCTAATATGGGAAGCGCTTGTGGCTTTGCTCCGAATGTGCCCTTGCTGAGACCTCAGCTGAGCCGCAGGGGGAGTCGGTGGCCTGGAGGCACCCCCTCGCCCACCAGTTAATGAGGGCAGCTCCAGGCAGGGGGATCCCTCATCCTCCTTTACACCCTGTTTATCCCTCCTGGGCTGGGAGAAGCTCAGCTGCTGATTCCCAAACCAGCCAGTCCTCAAATCCACGGGATTTCACCTCATCAGTGGATCTGCCGAGTCATTCATACTCAGCACTTTGAAAAGGTGTTCTGCACTTTGAGACTGTCAGGCTACCATGTCCCCAACTGCACATTCTTTCAAATCCTTGAAGAACGACGCTGTGCAGCCCTGTCCCAGGTGTGCCCTCAAGGGGACCTGTTTACTTATTTTTTAATTTATTTTTACTATTAATTTATTTTTAATTTTTGGCTGCATTGGGTCTTCATCGCTGCACACAGGCTTTCTCTAGTTGCAGCGAGCGGGGGCTGCTCTTGGTTGCGATATGTGGGCTCCTCATTGCTGTGGCTTCTCTTGTTGCAGAGCACGGGCTCTAGGCATGTGGGCTTCAGTAGTTGTGGCACGCGGGCTCAGTAGTTGTGGCTCGCGGGCTCTAGAGCGCAGGCTCGGTAGTTGCGGCGCACGGGCTTAGCTGCTCCGCGGCATGTGGGATCTTCCCGGACCAGGGCTTGAACCCCTGTCCCCTGCGTTGGCAGGCAAATTCTTAACCACTGCACCACCACTAGGGAAGCCCCCAGTGCTGGTTTTACACCTGCAGAAGGTCCTTTGACTGTTACCACGTCTTCCTCTTCGCAGCCCCCTCCAGGCATGCGGGTGGGTGGGTTTGGAGGCCCGTCTGACTTTATGGCATTGCTCGCAGAGACACGGAAAACCCAAAGTCTGAGCCAGGTACGTGGCCCAGTTTGCTAAAGGCACCCATTTGCTGATGGGAGGGACCAGCAGCCATCTCTGAGTACTGGCCCAGCTTATCTTTTCTTTGGTTTCTTGACTTTTTGAAGCCCGGGACTTAGGTAGACCTATCCCCTGAAAAACATCTGTAATCATGCAAAAAAAAAAAAAAAAATTTTGCTGGTATCCACAGGTGTCCAGGAAAAATTTCCGGAAGAGCATAAGGTCAGAGGATCATAAATTTTTATTTGTATTACCTGTTGTCAACTATTCCACTGACCATAAAAATGAATGATTTTTACCCCTGGAGATCACAGCATTTCCTCAGAGTTAACTAAACAGAAAGAAAGGACAGAAAGAGAGTCTGCGTAGAAATGATGCTGAAACACAGGTAAGCTACCTATGGAAGCAGGTCATCGGTCAATACCCACAACATCAACCTAATCCCCAGTGGCTTGCGGTACTTTAAGTTAACACACAAATGTCCTTCAGAGGGAGACCCAAGTGGGGCTTATGGCACCCCTGCTATTTTCAGACAGAAGAACGGCCACCAGACCCGCCAGCCTAGCTGCTCTGCCCAGCGCCCCACCTGCCAGGCTGGGGCTTCTCTTCCCGAAGTGCAGGCACATTTTTCCTGCCATCACTTCCTCCACAAAACCAAGTGCATAGTTACTTCTGAAAGCCAAGAAAACCGTTCCAAATATTCAGAAGCCCCAAGTGGCAAGGTCTAACTGCAAGTTCACAGCTTTTCCCCTCCCGCATGTACAGAATCATGTGGCATAACTCCACAGAGAGTGAACCGTTATCCGGGTTGAAAAGTTCAGCATGACTGACGCCTGACTTTGCAGCAGTCTTGTTGATTTTGGCCCCATTTGGGGAATTCTTGTTTATCTGCTCCGAAAGCATTGCTGAAGGATAACTAGTTTCAAGGGTCTGTCCACTAAATCAGACTGAAGAAATGATCCGTGACTTTGCTTTTGTTTTTACTTTAGCTCCCAGGCAAGGATGATGAGCCCTAAATCTCCAAAACGTCTCCTTTAAACCAGAGTTGTTTGTCAGAATGATATCTGAACCTCTCACCTACTTATGTCTTTTCCAGGTAAAGCCTTTATAAAATAATAATTGTTTTCTCTGCTTCTTAGTTTCTCCTCAAAGCGGACATTTTTATTGATGTTTCTCTAGTGAAAACTGATAAAGAGACAGGGCGAAGCTTCGAGAGGCGGGGGGAGGGAGAAAGCTGCAGGGAAGCAGCCGGAAGAGAAGAGGGGGTGGAAGTTCCACACCATCAGCCGCTCCTTAGAGCCCTGGGTGCATGGTAGCTACACACCACGAGAACCCATGATGCAGGCTCCCTTTTATTTTTTTTTTTTGGCGGTACGCGGGCCTCTCACTGTCGCGGCCTCTCCCGTTGCGGAGCACAGGCTCCGGACGCGCAGGCTCAGCGGCCACGGCTCACGGGCCCAGCCACTCCGCGGCCTGTGGGATCTTCCCGGACCGGGGCACGAACCCGCGTCCCCTGCATCGGCAGGCGGACTCTCGACCACTGCGCCACCAGGGAAGCCCGGTAGCTCCCTTTTATAAACGTGCGGACGGGCACAGAGGGGTCAAGCCATGGGCCCACGATCACACAGCCAGTGAGACGCAGAGCCAGGATGGAATGGGGCAGCTTGGTGTCTGAGCTCTTGTGCTTGGCCTGGAGATGAACGCAGAGGGGCTCGGACACACATCACACAGAGCTGGAGGTCGGAGGGCAGGTGGCTTTCAGACAAGCAAGACCAGCTACTTTTGCCCGTGGTCATAGCCAAAGCTCTGGACATTTTAAGGCTTCCACGGGTGCCAAGTCCCGTTTCCCTTCCGCTCCACGTGCCACTCCTCTGTGGAGCCACGACACGTGGCTGCAGCCTGGGCTCAAGTGGGGGCATCCCACACCCTTTGTCTCTGCTCAGGGCAAAGGCTTCTTCCCCATAAGATGGAAATTATCCCTCGACTGTCACTGAACACCCAGCTCCAGTAAGCCGGCTGCTTACTGACCGTCATGGCAAGGATGGATGCGACAGAAACAGGGCAGACGCGCGCTGGACCACTCCGGATCGCCCCCAGCAGAGCCAGCCCTAACTGCTCAGCTGGCAGCCACACATCCTTATCGTCCCCACAAAGAAGAGAAGCTCCCCCGACGCCCCAGTGCAGGCAGGGCCTCTCAGCCCCTCCAGCCGGGGGTGGGCGCCGGCTCTCCCACACGCACGCTCACTGTGCCGATACTGATCGCGCGCACCTGCCCCACGAGTCAGCCCAGGAGGGAGAGCGCTGCCCTTGGGGGAGCACGGGGTCGGGTGGCAGGTGGCCGGTTAGATAAGGATGCTGACCACGGGGCCATCACAAGTGGACCTGGGATGCTCGGCGCACACGTCCCGGAAAAGCCCCGACCAGGTGCGGCGGGACTGGGACCGGCAGAGACCGAGTCCGTGGGGAGGAGGCTGGGAAAGGGCAGTGGAGGGTCCGAGCCCAGCAGAGGGGCCTCCAGGGCGTCCAGGGTGATGACCAGGACGTGAGCACAACTGTGCTGAGAAGCACGTGGTTCCTGGGGAGTCCAGTGTGGGTGTCCAGGGGGGCTGGGAGGCCCAAGGGAGGGCGGAGAGCACGGGGCTGGGGGATGCCCAGGGGCGGGTACCTTGCAGTCGCAGCCAATCAGCTTCCCGCACTCCTCGCACGTGCTGGCGAAGAGGGCCTCGAAGCAGGCCACGCAGTAGGGCCGCTCCTCCCGCAGGATGTACTTTCTGCCAAAGAGGGAGTCCTCGCAGTGCTGGCAGTCGAAGCGCTCGGTCATCCTGGCACCAGATTTGTGCCACCTGCCAGGGAGGAGAGAAAGGACAGGTGCGGTGAGCGTGCCCGATGTCCCGTGCACACGGCAGTGCGCGTCCTGCTCCGTTAGGGTCACCTTTCCCATCACCTTTCCCATCGGTGGCCACATCCTCTGCGAGAGCAATCGACACTCACCCTTGAAGCGGGTGTAATTTTCAATGATACTTTTAAAAACTTAGCTGGGGGCAGTTCTGTGTCTGAGTACATTCCACTTCTTTAAAAGTCCCAATTCTGGGTGACTGTGTCAGAAAACGTGATCCCAGTTTTGGACCCAAGAAAGAGCTGGCATCAGAGCCCTCATCCCCTGGAAGGAGTGCCTGCTTCAAACGTGGGACGCAACCTCACATCCTCCCATTCTCCCTGCCCCCAAAATAGCACAGCAGGGATAGAAAACGATATGCTCATTGCTATAAAAAGACTTTCCGTGAGCTCCCCTTTATGATTCATGAATTTGAATAAGAAGAAACCACAGAAGCCAAGGGAGGGGGGTCAGAACTGGTAAACCCGAGGCCACAGGAGCATCACCTCGACCCGGCTTCACTGGGAAGCACGCCCACCCCCTGCCCAAGAGGAGGCGCCCTGGGGGCCTCATTCCTCCCAGATGACAAGCCTATCCTCCCTCAGCCCAGGTATCCAGGGAGCAGGAGAAAGGGAAAGGCTGGCTTCCAAGGACGGGGATGATCACGGTGAGAAATACAGTGACGTGACGGCAGTCAACGGCCACTCCAGGCGACACCTCGAGCTGCATTTTTCCAGGATGAGTGTGGTGTGTGTCTGAGCAGAAAGGACAGGGTAGGGGCAGAGGAAGGCGGGAGGTTTCACCCTCCCCCGCTCCCCATGTGGTTCCTGCACAAACATGTCAGCACTACCCCAGAAAGAGCCGGTCTACCCTGGGAAGGCTAGGTGTGGAGAAACGCCTCCGAGCCATTAGAAACACGGTCCAACTTCTTTAGAAATATCTTCTCAAGTGGCAATATTTGATTTGCTACAAGTGAAAAAGCTTTATAAATTATTAAATATGGAGACAGGCTGACTGTGTAACTCTGAGCGACGTTTCACAAACTCTGATTAAACTTGATTCCATTTTCAGTCATTTCCACCCACTTAGGAGTGAAATTCCAAAATCATACCCCAGGATGCAAATGAAATATTGCTGCCTGGTTTATGAGATAATAGCGAATTTGATAGTGTTTATTTATTTTGTACTCTTGTGTATATAAGATGCTGACAACTGTAAGCAAAGAAATGGACAACTTTCAAGCATCCCTACTTGGTTACTTCTGTGTTTATAGGACAGTTTTTTTCCCAAAAGTATGAAGCATGCAGCTGGACACATGAATTGCTCTTCCTGGAGAAAACATTGTCTGGACATTCTTGCAATAACATCACAAGATGAGGCTCTTGAGCGTTTGAATTTTCGTTCTGAAACACAACATGTAAATATCCTTTGTCCTAAGGCCACCGTCAGGTTGCAGCGGCTATGCTGGCAGAAGATGCAATGCTTTCCTGTAATTCCTCAGTTACTGGCCTTGAAAGTGGCCATCGTTTAGTTCATCGCAGTTAAGCGCCGTCCCTCCAACACACAGATTTTTCGAATAAAGCCTACCATTTACCTGCGGAACCTTATTTGTCTATTCTGGTCACACAAATTTAAGAACAATGACTTGAGGATTTGAAATAAGAACAAGGAAAGGAGACAGGGCTATAGATCATAAAATTTTTTAATCTGGAAACAATTTGGGAGATTATCTATGACTACCTCATTTTATGGATGGAAAAACTGGAGGCCAGGAATATTAATGAAAACAGAAGATTCAAAATGAGTATTCCCAAACAGCCGTCTCATTTAGAAAAAAGAAACTCCCGATCTAAATGGAAAGGTGGTTCCATGTGGGTTTGGACAAGCACAGGCCCTGCGGGGGAAAGGAGACGACAGACCATAGCCTGCACCAACCCCACTGAGCACCATTCCTGTGCTCTGGAGTCATCAAACTGGGGAACTGTTTTCGTCCCAGGTAAGGTCCTGGTGATGCTTACAGACCTGGGATATGCTTTCTACCTCCTCCAACTCTGCAGGACTGGGACAGAAATCATCTAACAGAGTAAACTGTGAGAACACACAGGGCTCCACGTCGGCTGAAGGGGACCGAGGTGACCCCGAGACAACGCCCCCATCACTGAAACCAACTTCCAGGACGGGCCCGGAGTGTCCGACAGCCCCTGTTTCTGCAGAACTGTCTTGGACGCTGGTGGATCTCTCTCCCATCCTGTTCCTTATCTCCTCCGAGAAGTCACTCCAGTTTTATTGACTAGGATAGCACTTGTGCTTAAACCAACAAGTTGGGGTGGAAAGTGAGACCATCACTAATGAGGGGCAGAGCCGAGGGACACAAATCTGACTGCATTTCTGGCAAGTTACAAGAAGCACAAACCGCTCAGCGTCAGAATCAGTAGCCCACGAGCTACTGAGGAGGACAAGAGCGTCCCTTCCACCACAAGGTGTTTAAAACGAATTCTTCAATCAAAAGCTACCAAATGAAAATCATTATAGAAAATTGTGTATTTAAAGTTATACGATCCATCTTAAGCCTCTTTTTAATGGCAAAAACTTAGCTATAGCCTTGCATTAGATGCCTCCTATAACTCCACTTTTTAATCTTATAAAATGCCTGGTTGGGCTTCCCTGGTGGCGCAGTGGTTAGGAATCTGCCTGCCAATGCAGGGGACATGGGTTCGAGTCCTGGTCCAGGAAGATCCCACATGCCGTGGAGCAACTAAGCCCGTGCGCCACAGCTACTGAGCCTGCGCTCTAGAGCCCATGAGCCACAACTACTGAACCCACGTGCCACAACTACAGAGCCTGTGCACTAGAGCCCATGCACCACAACTACTGAGCCTGTGCGCCACAACTATTGAAGCCCGCACCCCTAGAGCCCGTGCTCCACAAGAGAAGCCACCGCAATGAGAAGCCCGTGCACTGCAAGAAAGAGTAGCCCCCACTCGCTGCAACTAGAGAAAGCCCGCATGCAGCAACAAAGACCGAACGCCGCCAAAAATAAATAAATAAATAAATAAATTTAAAAAAACCAAACAGAACGCCTTGGGTTGTTTTTGTTTTCGTTTCTGTTTTTTTGCGGTACGCGGGCCTCTCACTGTTGTGGCCTCTCCCATTGCAGAGCACAGGCTCCGGACGCGCAGGGTCAGCGCCCATGGCTCACGGGCCCAGCTGCTCCGCGGCATGTGGAATCTTCCCGGACCGGGGCACGAACCCGTGTCCCCTGCATCGGCAGGCGGACTCTCAACCACTGCGCCACCAGGGAAGCCCATCTTGATTTTTTTTAACCTAACTGTGCACAATCTGCTTACCCTCTCTCAACTGCCGTATCCCTCCCCGCGGGTTACCTGTCACTCCTGCCCATCACCTGGTGCACAGGTGCTGACAGCATGAAGCAGCAGCAAGCGAGGAGACATCTGGACCGCAGGTGTGACTGCTGACTTGTTATTCATGAACCAAACCCAAATCCCAGCGTCTGGGAGTTCTCACCCCTCCCCCGGGGTTAAGTCATCCTCTGATATCATCCCCCTTGGCTCTGAACAAGCACCCGGATCTTAGGGGGCAGGTTTACAGGTGTGGCCACAGGCTCAGCCACCGACCACAGTGCTGGGAGAGGAAAGTCCTGGGGTGAGGGGTGGGTGCAGAGCTTTGATCTCCGATTAAAACCAATTCTCCACCTGCGCTGAGTCCGAGGCAAGGACACAGGTTCAGAGCGCAGTGGGCAGCAATGCGCAGGGCTGCCCCATGGAAAATAATGACTATCTGCAAGGTCCACAGGCTTGTATGTGTGGGCTATTTTTATCTTCTCAGGTTTAAGAACTGTCAGTGTCTGGAGTTGCGCGCTGCTGTGGGGGAGGGAAGAGAGAAGAGAAACAAGAAGGGAGGATGAGAGGAAGTGGAGAGGTGGGGAAAGGAGAGAAAGGAAGGAGGAGGGAGATGGGACGAGGGCATTTAGAGCCCAGGAAGCACGTGCATTTTTTTTTTTAATGGAAACATTTCTTGGGAATCAAGGGAGGGGCAGAGTTTCAGGTGTTTCCTGAACAGGAGGCCCTTTGGGCCGCACGAGTGTCCATGGAGCACCCTCTTCAATGCTCCCTTTTCTCAACCACGTACTTTAATCTGACCCCAAAGATGCCATTTGCCCCCTGCCCCTCGAAACCCACACGTCTTTCTCTATCCACGCTGCTCCAGGGGACTGCCCCAACGTCCTCGATTCCTCCAGAGAAATCTGTGAACATTCCCAAAGCCTTCCCACAAGCAGGAAGCAGCCTCGGTGAGTCAGCACCGTAGAAGCCATGCCCAGCTTTAAATGCCACCCGGGTCCCCGGTGGGAAACGCCATGGCTTACCAACACCCAGAACTTTTTAGAGAGAATTAAGGAAATTGGTCTGTTGCATGTGGGCTCGCTCTTTTGAAGAATGTGCTGGAAAATGCAGTGTTTTCATGACACCACAGGACGCTGACTGCCTGTGCACCTCCCAGCCCCCAGCCGTAAGCCCCGCAAAGGTGGACCCTAGGATCACTGCGGCCACACCAGGTGACAAACACGGGTCAGGCGCTTCATAAACACCCGGGGAATGAATGAACGGACACGTGGATGGGCGGCGGGTGAACACAAATATCCCAGAGCACAAACACGTAGGCCACATCCAGAGTGGAAACGAGGAATGTTTTATGTGAACAACCCACTTTGCATAGCAAACCCCAGATGTAATGGGGCTTGGCATCCGATGCTGGTACAATTTCTAATGCAACAGATCCTGAGCTGCATTCTTTCTCCTCCGCCTCTGGCCTCTTCCCCCTTCCAGATACACTGCTGCTTCCACAGTGGGTGGAACTGTTCTTACTGTGTTTGGATCCAAACCCATGTGAACACACAGCTGCACAGCCCCGGATGAGGCCGGGTCAGGCCAAGACGCACAAGCCTCA